AAGCATGATGGGAGGCTAGGGGAATAAGATTCGAGCAAACACAGTGTGAGCCTCAGTTCCCATTGAAAGTTGGGTGCAAAAGTGATTCATCTATGGGCCAGACACAGCCTGAGAAAATCTCATGGCCTTGGAGGAATCTCGAGCATTACTGAGTGACTTCACCAAAGGGCAGCCCCAGGCCTTAATCCGACACAGCTCCCAGCAAGGTGATAAACATGTTTTCAATTCATGGAAAGTTACATGGTCAAGGTTCAATAAATATTGGCTGAATCCTATAGTTGAGTGAAAATATGATAACATGGAGTAAGCTGCCACAAAAAGGAATGGAACTCAAGGTCCTGTCTCCATAGGCCAAGCCCTAAACTCATCTCTTTACTTGCCTCACTTAGCCCTTGACATCCCCAGGATAGGTATCAGTGTCCTAATCTTGAGGATAAGGAACTGGTGGCCCAGTAAAGTTAAGTTTTTTCCTAGGGTCACACAGCTAAGATCCTATGTGGGATCCCCAACTGCACAGTCCCTGCACTAAACCTAATCCCTTCCTGTGGATGAGGAGGGCAGCATGCATTAAGGACTCAGCCTGGAAGGAACCAGCTAACAGAGCCTGGGGACAGTGCACTGCTTTCCTTTAGTCTTTTTATTTCCCCATGTGCTGCTCTGGAGGGTGAGACTACTAAGAAGTTATAAAATAGGCTTTTTATTACTGCTTTTAAAAAAGTAATTATTCATTCCCTTTTTTAAAAATCTTTTTTTTAAAGATTTTATTTATTTATTTTTAGACAGAGAAAAGGAAGGGAGAAAGAGAGGGAGAGAAATATCAATGTGTGGTTGCCTTTTGCATGCTCCCCACTGGGGACCTGGCCTGCAACCCAGACATGTGCCCTGACTGGGAATTGAACCAGTGACCTTTTGGTTCACAGGCCAGTGCTCAATCCATTGAGCCACACCAGCCAGGGCACACTCCCTTCTTAAATGAAACAAAACTTTAGTTTTAGAATGACTTTAATGAATGCAATTTTAACAGAACTGCTCAAAATTCAGCATATAAGGTAAAAATCTTGCTTTGATCCACCTGCTTCATGCCTTAAAAATCAATCAATCTCATCACAGTGATGCCCTTTAAAGGCAAGCAAGCAGCATTATCGATTTTAGAGACCCCTCTTTCCTTGCAGACTCCAGAATGGAGCATATCCAAACAGCAAGATGTTTCCCAAAGGCAAAACCCAGCTGGCTTGATTCAGCAATATGAAAGTATGAGCACTATTTGGTCCCTTGAGGTGTGACATGAACAGAGCAAGCATTGCAGGCATGAGGGAAGGAGCACACTGAAATGCTTATGGAAGGAAAACAGCCAGCAGGCCATGCCAGCAACAGGGGACAGAAACCAAGTGGGAGTAGAAGCATCACTGCACGTTAGCATTGTCCGCTGGAGGCTTCGTTTGGAGATCTTTGGAGGTGAGAGATGCAGGCAGAGCAGGTACTTAGTAGGGCTGCTATGCTCCACCCTAGGCAGGAAATGTGTAAGTGGGTGGTGGCAATAAGGTTATGTGAACATGGCAGGGGTGCTGCAGCATGATTTTTGTTGGGAACTATGACCAAGGACCTCTAACTTTCCACATTTATATCCAGGATTCTTGAAAAACATTCTGAGGTGTGTCCCTACCCACCTGGCCTCCTGTGGAGACAGGAGACCCCAAGAACCACTCATGGCTGCTGTTTCTGCCCTTAAATTTCAACTCAAATGTTACTTCCCTGAAGGGCCCTCAGGACCACACTCCACCTCAATAGTGAAGTCCACTCACAGCCTAGGGAAGGTATAGTGTGAACCTTGTTGCCTTTTTATTTTTGTAATGCAAGTGCCTGAATTAAGCTTTCATTGCCCAGGCATCCATTTCTAAGGCTGTCTGGAACAAACACATTGAAGCCACACAAACTAGGTAAGGAAACAGATTGCCTCCCTGACTAAGGCTCCTGTTTCAGAGACCTTGGCTGATTTCCATACTGACCATTTGGGTTACATGGGTTTCTTTTCTCTTCCCATACTTTAAATTCCCACTCTTAAGTTTTAAATTCACCCTTAAAGAGTGAGCCCTTGAAACCCTAGCCTCCTACCCTTGACCTGAATAAAAGCAGAGCCCCAGACCCATACACTCTTTCTCTCACCTAAGACGTCACTGTATGTAATAAACCTGTGTCTTTTCCAAGTTTCCTGATGGTTATTGCTGAAGGGTGTCATGTAATGATAATAAGAACCACAGGGTTGGTCTAGCCACAATAATGGTTATTGATAGGCTAAAACCAGAACAAAACAACCACCCCATCAACATAATTAAAAATAAAAACAATGCCAATCACAGAGTAACTCTAAGGAAGTCTAACAGAGTTCTAATTATTCCTATGAGGACTACTTTAATTCTTTTTTTGAAGTATCAAATATTAAATTCTCTCACTGAGTATTTAGGAGCACTTATTAAATACCAGATACCCTGGGTGACCAGCATATTTCATTATTCTCTGAAACTGTCTTCTGAACACTTACTCTTTGACTCACTGTTTCCTGTCTCTCCCACTAGATTTCAAGCTCCGGGACAGCAGTAAGGCTGTCTGTGCCCTTCAGATATAGCACAGCTTCTAGTAGTGTGGGGGCTGTTATATTTCTATTAAGTAGACAAATGCCCCTGTGTCTTTTTATCCAGTGGGTTCTGGTCTTCACCTTGGAGCTGAGTGCCCAGGCAGAGGCTGGAAGAATGGAGCCAGTTACAGTGGTGAATGAAAGGCAAGCCTTGGCACCCTGCAGGAGAAGCAGGAGAGGGGGCTCTGGGGCTCTTCAGCTGTCAGTTCTCAGTAAGTCTCCCCCACGAAATTCAAAATTCGGGAGTCTAGACACAAGGTTTAACAAGGGCCCATCCAGATCCTGAGATGTTGCTGGGGTCCCCACTATTGGTCAAAAGAGACAGGAAAGAACATCACAGGATCCCAGAGGGTTCATCTTCAGGGCAGGTTCTTGAGTCTATTGGGCAGAGAAGTGAGCAAGGCAGGGTTCTGCCTGCCTGACACTCAGAGCAGCTTGGCACACTTCCCTCAGACTAAGAGAAAGAGTGAGCAGGGAGAGGGGGGAAGAAGTGGGAGTAAGGAGAGGCTGGATGCCAGAGGACAACTGGAGTTAACTTCAGAAAACCATACAAAAAGGAAGGAAGAAGGAGTTGAATGCAGAATGAAAAACAGATTATTCACTGTCAGGCTGAACAATGGAACAAGACATAAATAGCAGCCATGCACTGGACATGCCATTTTTGCTCAGAAGTAGTGTGCAAAATACCCTAGCAGACCCCTACCCCAGAAAGCTCAGTGCCACAGCCAAGTTGTGCACTGTGCAGATGGAGAGAGACCAATGTCTTGTCAGAAGTGGGAAGAATGTGGGCTTTAAAGTCAGAGATTTGAGTTAGAATTCCAGCTCCGTTATTTACAACTTTCTATTGGGGTGGGGGAGGGGGAGAGAGAGAAGAGGTGGTGGAGGGAGGAAAGGAGGAGGAAAAGGAGAAACAGAAAGACAGAAGAAGGACAGAGAGGCCCAAACCACCAGCCCTGGGTAACAGTGGCAGCCTCTTTGAGCTTTGGTTCCAATAGCAGGAAGACAGTGAGGCTGAAAAAAAGGGTTCTATAGAAAGTAACATCATAGGGTGATCCAATCATAAATTCCTAACTGGGCAAGTTCTGCCCAAGTATATAACTTCTTCACTAAAAGGTTTAACTTTGCCTTAAGCCAGCCCTGTCCATTGTTTCTGTGCACCTAGGCTAACGTGCCTTTGAAATAAGCCATAACCAACCAAGACAGCACATAAGCTTGTTAAATATCCTGTAATCCAATCCCACACTTGTTTTCTCCACCTCCATGGAATCTTCCTTATGTCCCCTCCTTAATTCCAAATGCATACAACAAGTTTCAAAACTGTTAATTCTATGAAGCATTTCATATCTTGCTCTTGGCATATGTCTTCAGTTGATAGTAATCACCCTAGCTGGTGTGGCTCAGTTGGTTGGAGCAGTGTCCCATAACTGAAATGTTGCAGGTTCAATCCCAGTTGGGGCAAATGCCTAGGCTGCACGTCTGATCCCCTGCCTGCGTGCGGATGGCGGGCAACCCATTGATGCTTCTCTCTTGCATTGATATTTCTCTCTCTCCCTTCCTCTCTATCTAAAAGCAATGAAAAAGAAAATGTCATTGGGTGAGGATAAAAAAAGAAATTATAAAAATAAAACCTCAGTACAGATAACAAATCCATGGGAAGTGCTTCACTGCCACCCAGTATGAGTAGAAGTGTCAAGGACTCCCTGATGCCCTCCCCTGAAAATAAGGAAAGGCAAGCCCCAGAGATGAGAATGGGGCATAATTTGTCATGCATGTGAAGGGGCCATCAAGGGCTATGGGCTGTCACCTCTGTCCTCTGATGTTTGATAGTCCCCAAGGCCTTTCACTTGCTCTCCTAGGACAACTCCACTGGTAAATACTGTCTAGTTTGTCAGTAACTGGGTCCCTCTAGCAACATTGGGACTTAAGCACACCTGTGCACCCTCCCTCTGGATCTCTAAGAGACAGGGCAGTGACATGCTGGTTTCTGGGCCCAACCACCCAGCCCAGTGGCCTGAAGGGGATCTTTTCAGAGTTTTCCTTGATAAGCCCCTTTCTCAGGATCTGTGAGTCTTAGAAAGACTTCATTCCTCTGCACTGGAGTTACCACTTAGGCACATGGCTCAGGGGACAAAGGTCCTGTTCTGAGAGCACCCTGTCAGCTCCTGGTACAGCCTTGAGTCAGGAGTGTGCCATCTCATTCCAGCCAACAAAACCTCCTGGTGAGGAGACACGACTCCATTTCCACTTAGGGAGGCACAGTGGGGAGGGCAGAACTCAGGCAGAAGCAGGATTCAAATGAGTGGGAAGGTGACCAGGCTCTGGGTTGGGAATTGCTGTATGGCAACTGTGGTCACAGAGGTCACCTTACCTTGGTGAAGGCCAGGCAGTCCTTGTCCTGGTCCCGGTCCTTCATCTCAAAGTCATATAGGGCTTTGCCTTGTGGTGGGGCAGGTGGCAGGGGCCGGAGGCACTGCACGTAGCTGGCTGGCAGGAAGCCATGGGCGCCACCCAGTTCCCCATGGAACCAGTGTTCGTCCACCCTGCGCCTCAGGATGATGATGTCTCCCTTGTTGAACTTGAGATCACCAGGCTCTTTCCCCTCGTAACTGTAGAGGGCTTTGCCATAGGGAAGCTGCGAAGAACTCTGAAAGCAAAACACAACACTGGTTACTCAGCTCAGCCTTATTGCTGCCTGGGCAGCCTGAAGTGTGGGGCTTCCATGTGCAGAATGCCCTTGTGTGGAAAGTCTTTCAAAGAAACAGATACCTTGTCACAGGAACATGCAAGCCTATGGCCCTGCCTAGACAAGAGAGTCCATAAGATGGCCCTGTGATGGTCATTCCCTTTCCAATCATGTATGGGAGTGGCCAGGCACTGCCCTCGGCCTTGTGCATGTATCAGCTCACTGAGTGCTGGAAAGGACTCTGAAGGAGGGGCTAAATCATTTTCATTTATAGTCAAGTGAACTGAGCAGGTAGAGCTTGAAGTCCCACATCTGTAATGATAGGGCAGAATCTACACCTAGGGGCTCTGACTCCAGAATGTTCTCACTCCCTACTCTGTGCTGAATTGATCTCCATTGGGTACTATTTCTATCTGCCAGATTTCCAACAATTATCTTCCAACAAAATTTTCCTTACTTTGTCCATGAAATGTCACAGTAACTCAGATCATGCCTCAAGGGGGGTTTCAAGTTGAGGCAACAGATTCGCACAGACTGTACTGTACCCTTCTCAGTTGTGGCACACATCTATGATGTTCAGCCTCAAGGAACAGAAAGGCTGGTCAGGGAAGGTAGACACCACCCCTGGGACTTTGGTCCACAATACATCATAAGTTCTAACAAATGTTCCTTGGCTGTCACAGAGTCCCTCGACCATGACTCACAGTTTTTTTATGCCTATAGCAGTCTGGTTCAGAAGTACAATTTCAAGAGTATAAAATAGTATCCTCTTAATGTCATGGGATGCTCCTGTTACCCTGTCACGCTAACCTTTCCAAAAGTGATTTGCCATCTTTGGTCTCAAAGAGTGACTAGCTCTGAAACCCAAAGAGAATTCTTGGCAATATTATGCTCTTCAGCAATAAGGTGTCTGTCAAACTACACTGCAACTTGGTGTCATCATCCGCTCCCTGGGCAACTCTAACTTAACTGGACCTGTTTCATAGAGACAAGTGGCCACATGGGTTTCTCTCCCTCTTCTTTAGCAGTGGCCAAAACCCACTCAACTGAGTAAGCTTTGTCAAAGGCCAATTCTTATGCCAAAAACCAAAAATGCTACTATTGTCCTCATGTCAACACCCAACGATTTCCTTAACAGAAGCTGCATTTTCTCACTGGAGCTGCCTAAGCTGAGGATTTCTTTAGTCTTTGAATCAGTCAATACAGGCGCAAAAGCCTGAAGCAGGAGTACATGATAAACCTCCTTCTAGAGGATTTAATTGCATGTTGGCAACTCAGTCTCCCTGCATTTGTGTTTCAGCAATGTCCAACACAGGAGTTAAAAGAGAACCTGGGCAAACTGACGAAGAATCACCACTAACAAATTACATTGGAACATGTGAGGATTTGCAGAACTCAATGGGGAAAAAAAATCACTTTGCTTCCAGTAACACTCATCCTGGCAGGCACTGTACTATATGCACAATAGGCTGTATCGGGCTTCAATTTTAGAGATCTGGGCAAAGGGGTAATTTATAATCCAAGAACTGTGACCATAAAAGAATGAAAGAGGCTGTGGGCTGTGGGCCACACAAAAGCCAGTCAGCACCCAGCCCAAGGATTCCAAATCAAGGACAGTTTTGTCCCCCAGGGGACATCTGACAATGCCTGAAGACATGTCTGGTTGTCACAACTGGGAAGCATTGACATCTAATGTGTAGAGACCAGGGATGTTGCTAAACAGCCTACAGTGCAGGGGATGCTCCCTCTAACCCCCACAAAATAACCCGGCCCAAAATGCCAATTGTGCTGAGGCTAAGAAAGCCTGCTGTAGCCCTTAGGTTAATTCACAAAACAACAGAGTATCTTTTTGTTTTACTTGAATTTGGTGTATCACAACTTTAAAAATTAAATATAACATTTATTTCTGTAATGTATTTTCACTAGTTACCACATGGAGGAGTTGATATACCCATTGAGGTAAGATGAATTAAAGAGCAGAAGAAAAAAAACTTACTGTCAATCTTGAAAACTGGCCTCAACTAGGTACACAAAAAAATGTCAATTTGTCACAGGCCAACTCCATTTCCTTTGGTAGCCAGACTAAGAGGGCCATGATCAAAGTAGTACTGTAAGAGCCATCCGTGCTGAAGCTATTTGGTCCTTTTGCACTGGGCAAGCAGGAGCAGCCACGTGCACTTTTGTGTCAATGCTCTGACTCCCTCTGTGCACTTTCATGCCATTTCTACACATGCACCTCCCTGCCTCCATGTGGAGGGCACACTGGCATTGCTACTCGGGCCTGCCCACAACAGTTCACTAGCTCTGTTGACACAGAGGACACTTGCAAGCACACTTACACTCATGTTGTACAATCCTGGCCCAACATGCTCAGTGAGACTGGGAAGGACCTGGATATAGTGAAGAGAGATCCAGACACTGCCTTGTGGCAGGGCTGGTGCTCTCGAGTAGTATGTCTTCACTGTTTCTGGGAGGCACACACTCCTGACGTTTAAAGGACTCTGTCTTTCATAGATTCTCCAGAGTGAGAATGGCCACATCTGTCTGAGCACTGTAGCCTGAGGCCTTCCAGGGCAGCATGACCACTTTCACGATCCCTCTCTCTATCTGCTCCTATGCTGTGACTCTAAATTCTCTGTGCTTCCAACTTCTCTTGTGAGCAGTGGGCTGTAGACCCTGGGGCGGGGGCGGGGGCAAGGCGGGAAGACACCCACTAAGAGGAGCACCTGGTGGCTAACTGCACTCAAATTTTAAAAAACAGAGCTGAGAGGCTCCTCTCACTTAAACTGCACTTCAGGGAGAAGCCTTAACTGAACTGCTTGCCTGCTCAGCGTTTCTGCCATCCTAGCTATTCCTTATAGAGAAGTTTTTGGAACCCTATTTCAACCAACAGGACTGAGGCTTCCCCATCCTACTGGAGCTGTGCAGTTCTGGCCATAGTGGCTGTATTCTGACCAATAAGGACAGTGCATTCTGCACCAGTCAAACTGAGTGAATTTGAAGTCCTCATTTGCAGGAAGATAAACCAATCAGTGACCAGGGGCAGGGACTTCTGTCCATATAAGTCAACTTGCCTCTGGCTCCACTGAGCACAGCTTCCCTTTCCACCAAATACTGAAGAGTGCTTCTCCCTAGCTGAGCTGAAACACACCAGACCAGTGCAGGCCAGGGAAGGCCAGCATAGTACAAAGAAGACCACTGAGAAGTAGAGCTCTCTAGCTGGGGAAGAGCCTGGGCCCAGGGCTACCTCACAGCCATTCTGTTTTCACAGCCATCTTGTATCACAGTTGAGCTGTTTTCCACTGAATAAAGTTTCCTTTTTCACTGTACCCCAAGCTGGGGATTTCTATTGGTGTTGAATTGGTGCCAACAACAATTAGTTGACACGACTTATGTCAATCTAACTGCCTTGAGGTGCCACAGCTGTCCCTAAAGCCCACACCCCCCGATTTCCTCATCCTGGCTGTGGAATCCCCCCCACCATCATTAAGCAAGCACCCTCTGTTTTCCCAAGTCTGTCTTTTCCTTCGGTCTCGGTGTTCATCCTCAAATCCTGTAGATTCCACATCTAATATCTCACCAAGAGACCCTGACACACTTCCACTTCCACCTCCCTGCCCTTCATTTCTCCTACGTAGACCATTGCACATCTCCACCTTTAGGTCCTCAACATGAGGCTAGCAGCCCAAACACAGAGCTGATCTTACCACCTTGCTGCTTACCTACCTATCTACTGTCCTCTGAGAGGTAGCATGGAACCCAAGGCTCTTTATGCCGACCTCAGAACAGCTCTGAGCCACAGCCCTTGGCACTCCTCCCTCCTCCTGTGCCTCGGCACAATGGGCAGCATCCTTATTCAAAAGGAGCGTGTGTTTCTAAACTGTCCTGGTCTTTGCTACTCTGGTCTTGGGAGCCTTTGGCCCATAAATCCCCCCACTGCATCAGCCCTATTCCGCCAAGGCTCCAAACACTGTGCTGTGTTTGCCTGACAACCTCGGAACCAAGGATAGTTCCTCTCACATGGTTGGTGCCCTACATATATTTTGTTAATTCAAATATGCTCAGGTTATTAATGTGGGTGGGGAGCGGGAAGAGTAAGAAATGACAGACAGATCTGACATGGTAACCCTGTAAACCAGCATGTCTCACATATGTCCAGGAAAAAGGTGCTAGTCCCAGCTCTGCACAGAGTGGGCAAGAGCCGGTGTCCTAGCATGGGAACCAGGGAAGGACTAGGCCAGGTTCTGAAGTGCAGAAGCAGGGGTTGGAGTAGACAGCACATGGCCCTCACCACAGCTCCTCAGGCAGCAGAGAGAGGGCTAACAACCCCTTGGTAGGTTGGTCAGAGGGCAGGGCTGGGAGCAAGCAAGATAACTGGCTCCATCCATGTCTAGTTAGACAGTTATGCTCTGCAGCTTCCATTGGGGTATGAAGGGTAGAGAGAGGGAGATACCCCACCTCACTAATACCCCCTGAAATGCCAAGATCAGCATCTGATAGAACAAAACTGAAAGGGGCAGTAAACCTTTGTAAGATGCAGAACACATTTTGGAGGGCAAAAAAACCCGAAGCCAGAGATGATGCTGAGAGATATATTATCCAGGAGGTCAGGACCTGGTTCTCGCTTTTGGGAAATGCTGGGAAATGGTGATGCTGAGCACCTCCATGACACATTTTATTTTCAAAGCCCTTTATAAGGTTAACTAATTAGTCCATGACTAGGGCCCAGAGGCAAGCAAATGCTATTATGAGGCAGGGGCAGGGAAAAAATAAAAGGAACTCTGAAATCCCAGCCTCCATAACCCAGCCAAGGAAACTGAGTGGGTTTTTCTGCAGCCATTTCCTTCCTGCCCCCTGGTGGTCCTCATAACCTCTCTCACACTGTGTATGTTGCCCTTTTGAGGAACTGATTTCAAATACTGTCACCAAGCCACCATTGTATTATGTGGGCTCATGACATTAAAGAAAAGAAATGGAAAAAAAAGGGATGTACATCTGGGATGCCTACGGGATAATTAATACCAGCCACTTCTGCAAGGCATTAATAATAATTAAACTTTTAATGTCAATTTTATGGCTCATTACTCAGATGTAGCACACAAACATTACTGTGGGCTCAATGTTCTCCCTGTGGAGACATGGGTGCTAGTGCATGTACAGCAGCCATCTTGTGAGATCAGCGCAGCAGTGATATTTAACAAATGTGCCTCCCTTCCACCAGGCTGCCAATGCGGAGTGGCGGTGAGGGTGGGCACCACAGCTGGCCCATGTGAACAAGAGGCTTTGGCTAGGTCAGGCATTCTCTGCTCTTCCAGCAAACCAGGATGAAGAGTGTGGACAAAGAACTCACTCATTTTCTAGACACCAAGGACAACCCAATCTCCCTCACCAAGTGCTTTCCACATAGCATTTTCTTGGATCTAACCACCTGTTACCAGTGGAGATCCCCAGACTATTAGCCCCACCAGGATAGACACTGTGCCGTCTTTTGTTACATGTTGCATCCCCGCCCCTGGCCTGACAGAGGTCACCTATTCAAAATACCTGTTGAATGAATGTACCTATGAACTCTTAAGATCAACTCCATGAAATTAGGGCCTGGGCAAACAGCCTCTGGCTGGAAGAACCTTTCCTGCACATTATTTTTCCCAGGATGTGAGGTTCGGGGACCATGTAGCTAAAGATCCTGCTGCTAACAGTGGCTGGGTCTGATGAATGGGGGAAATCCTACTAATTGCTCCATGAAAAGTAAAAGAAACAGCTGGAGGAATCAGCCTGAGCAAAGGAATGGAGTTAGAGACAGACACCGGCTTGCCTCCCACAGAACATAACAGAGTTGACCGGTATGGGGGAAATGAATCCTGGAGAGTTTCAGAGACAGTTAACAGACCAGAGAGGACACTGCCCAACCACAAACAAACCAAGCATCGCAGGGTCTATGAAAGTGGCAGACAACTAATTGCTCCCCAGCATCCAGGTGTTCCTTCTTCCTGTCAGTGAGAATATTCCAAGTTTCAACTGGGATCAAGGTCACCCAGCTAACAGCTTGATCTTCCAGCCTCATGTGCACAGCTCCATGGCCATCTGTCAAAATTTTAGTCAATGGAGTGCAAGTGGAAGTGATCTGTACCAATCCTGGACCCGGACTGTGTTTTGTAATGACATTTATATGGAAATTCCACTTCCTGCCCCTCCCCTCCCATGGACTGGACAGCAGTGTTGTGAGGGGAGCCAGATTCTTCCACACAAAGATTACATACACTCAGATTGAAAGATGGAAAGAACCTGGGTTCCTGGATGACTTTGTAGAAGAGAGTCCTGAACTGTGACTTGAGAAGAAAGAAACTTTATCTTATTTGAGGCACTATGTTTTGGGATCTTCCTATAAGCAGCTTAGTCTGTATCTTGACTAATCCAGGAAGCTAGAGGTCAGATTTATGGTTTCTTTAGCTTATAAACCATTTTCAAGCCAAAGTACTTCATTATCGCTGTGGAGGATACTATGCATGTACTTTCCTTTTAGAACAGTACTTTTAATATGAGCCCTCTCAGATACAGAATAACATTGAAAGCATGGTTTCTTGGCTTTATCGTGTGCTAAATGATGTATTTAACCAGAATGTCACCATCTTCTAGCTTACAAATTAATCTGTGATCCAGTTGTTGCTACTCCACCTAGGAGGTTCCCAGGTTTTAGTTTTACAGCAGTTACATTTCAAGTTCCTTCTCTCTTTCTCATTAAAAGTTACCTTTGGGGTTTCGGACTCCTTCTCTCTTTTATTCTGATGCTTTTCCTTCCCCAGATTTTCATACTCATTCTTCCAATAATGTAGGCTCCTACGCCAGGCTCTTAGGCTACAAGGGAGTAAGACATCCTTTTATTCAGAAGGTCGCTGAAAAGGACAACAAAAGTGAAATGCACAATTTGTCCCAAACACAGGTGGGATGAACACACCACTAAACAGTTATCGCATGATGCGATTGTGAAGATACAAGCTGCATACAACCAAAAACTGCCTTTAGCTGAGTTCCTGGTTTCAGCAAGATTAGGTAGGATGAAAAGCAGATGTATATCTTTTATCGTTCCTTTTTTTGATTTTCCCAGACATTGTTAAATGCCCTCTTCTCAAGTTTGCCTGCATCTCCATCACTGTGGCAGTGAATCTGCTGATGTTAGTGGTATTTTGCTAGAAGCTGGAAGGGCTAAACCTCCCATTCTGAAATGTTAAGAGAAATTGGGTTTTAAAAAGGCTAGTTTTGCCTTAGAGACATTGGGTTTCTCTGGCCTGGATGTAAGCGTGAAGCTCTTGGGTTCCTCCAGATGAATCTTACTATAAAAGCAATGTGACTCCTCTGCCATATACAGGATGTGGCTCCGACATCTTCTCAAATGAGCCAAATACAATTTTATAAAACCATTATGTCAAAGAAATGAACCTTTTTCAAACCAGCACTCTCCTCTTCAAGGAATTGATGTTTAAAAAACCCTAATTTACCCTTCTAAGGATGTAAAACCAACTTCTAAGTCACTCACATACTGTTACGTGGAAGGAGGAGAGACTGGGATCAAACCAAGTCTAGCTTGGAGAAGACGAGGTCCTATATGACATGTGATCTGAAAACATACTAAGGAAACTATTCTTAGAAAAGGTTACTCCTGAAGAGGAAATAGGTCAGTTAGGAGTTTTTTGCTGTGATTTGTTTTTTTTTTTCCATTTGGGGAGATATTTGCAGTCAACATTATCAAGAATGAAGATAATTCTGTGGAAGGCATGCATGCACAGACATGTTGAGCCTTGGATCAGAATTATACTGATAAGCTCCCAGGTGATGCCCCATCCTTGAGGAGAATTTGGCTGCCTGCTTGCTCACACAAGGATGCACAGTGGCTGCAGTGCTCTTGCCCGGGCCAAGATCAGGAGCTCACTTTTTACTGTTCACATGAAGAGAAACAAGTGGAAGCCTGAAGTCAGCAAACAATGAGAGACCCAACTATGCCCAGCCCAAGACTCAGCTGGCCCCAGCTCTGTGCTGCCTGTCTGTCCACACTGAGCCTCAGGTATACACACTGGTGTGTGTCCCTTCTCCTTTGAGACCACAAGATCTGCACAATCTGGGCAGCTCCTCACAACACACAATTGCTTTCCTGAGCAGTAGGGTTTTCAAAGACTACTGCTTTGACAGTGTTTCTGTAGGACTGCTAGAACACACTGCTGCATTCTGGCAAACCACAGCTCCACAAACCTCTCTGTTTTACCAGCAATCTCTGTTTCTGTTTTGTAAGGATAAAGGTTTCCTAGGAGAAGCTTCTGGGGAATTCTTGTGATATTCAACTCTGGATTATCCATGCTGCAGTGGGTGAGAGTTCATACCTAGCTGTGAACTCCTTAGTGTTAAATTTTAACAGGCCTTTCAGCCTTCCTAAGTGAACTTCTTTCTGTGTCCCCCAAAGGGCCTGGGACGCACAGCTTGCTGAGCTGTTAGCACATGGTAACCATCCCATTTTCTTTCTCTCCTCCCAACCCAAGGAAAAAGAGCAGTGGAACAGCCTGAAGTCATGCTAGGATGAGAAGGTTCTATGAAGAAGAGAGCAAAGGGAGCTGAACAAGGAGGCTCCATGAAAGGAATGCCATAGGTGCCCTGGGCCAGGGGGGCATGTGCCACTAGGCAGAGCAGAGTGGCACCATGAGGCCAACCACCACCAAGAGTTATGGTGGGAAAGGAGACATGGAGTGGTGCATCCTTTCACTGAAATCAAACTGTACATGCCCAGGGTCTCCCTGAGTCAAAGAAGAACCTGCCTTCCACCTTTGCCTGGGAGAGGCAGAATTTGACCAAGCAAATGGTCAGCTTTGGGGTACAGGGCCCTGTGTAGGAGCATCAGGCTTTCCCATAGCCACTTTGGCTTCCAAACTTCTCCAGGTGGCCGTGTAGCTGGACATCCAAGTGTGACTTCCTGACTCCCCTACCTTCAACTCCACCATTGCGTTCTGCCCCCCTTTAATTTCATAACATATCTTCACTAAGAGCTTGAAAGTTCAAAGGGTAACAAAGTAAAGTTTTGAGCCCTCGAGCAATTTCTTATTCTACTTGTGCATCCCTGTGTTCTGTCAGACACAATAATATCTCCCCAAAGCTCCTGCACCAGTCCTACTCACTGCCCTGCCACCTATGAACCATACCAGGCTCTCCTGACACCTTCTGCCTCTGTGGCCTTACAGTGCTCCAGAGGCCCCCTGCCCTGGGAAGTATGATGGCCCAGGAGCCTGTGCATCATTGAAGGACCTTCCCTAAAGTGTGTGTTTTCTAACATCTAGTTCAAGAAGGATATCAAGGATAATTCTGTTCTGATAACTATGTAAAAATGAAATAATCAGAATTGCCTGAAGAAGTTTTAACACTGGGGTTGGTAGTCTCATATCTAGGTCTAGGTCACTAGTATTTTTTTTAACTTTATTTTTATTGGCCGTTAAGTACATTTTGTAATTATCTGGTTAGAGATCAGAATGCCTAGTGTAGGCCTTTGGGACCCACATTCATACCCTTTACTGAGAGGATGGACTGTCTCTCTCTCTCTCTCTCTCTCTCTCTCTCTCTCTCATCATGATTCACACATAATCTACCCACCACACACAGAAGTTTATTGTTCTGACATCAGTGAGAAGAGAGGAAAGGTGAATGAAGATGAACATATCAGAGATTAGCATAAATCAGGAGTTAGCAAACCATGGCCCCAGGACCAAATCCATCTTGCCTCCTATCTTTAAGCTGTGCCCATCCATTCACAACAGCAGAAACCACAGTGAATGCAAAGCCAAAACATCTGCTATCTGGCCCTTCACAGACAAAGTCTGACAACTCCTGGAATAAAATGTCAAGATTGGCAAAGGCCCCAGGTCAGATGTTTGCACATTCTCCCCTCACTACAGGGGAAAGGAGGACAGCTGTAGGACCCCTCTGTGTCAATGGAATGTGTGTTACATTTAAGAGCAGCACTGCCACTCCTGGTGTCTAAGTAGTGATTTGGGACTCAGGGACAGCCCTGGCTTAATGACGGCCTTGCAATGTGCCTTTTGAAAAAGTGTCTCAATTCTCAGATGCTCTGTTTTCCCATACACCGCAGATAATCAAGTCTGTTCTTCCCTATGTCCTAGTAATGTGAAGAGAATAAAATTGATAATACGTAACAAGCTTTTTGTCTCTTAATGAAGAAAGTGCTATAAAAACCATTATCACAGACTGTTTGCTGAGGCAAACTCATATTGCAGGAGCCTGGATGCTGGTGCTGGGTGTTCAGGAGTTTCTCAGTGTATACAATGGCCAGTGATGATCTGAACTGTCCTCAGGTGGGAGTGGTGAGGACAATGTGCCACCTGGCACCTGTACACTTTGGCTCAATAATGTATCAAGTGAAAGAGAGCCAGCAGCAGCCTAGTGTGTTGTGCCTAGCTGTAACCTCCTCTCACCTCTCACAGGTCTCTGTGAGCTGATTCAGGGTTCCAGTAGTAATTAGCACCTAGCTTCCAAAGGGATGCTCTTTAGCTTGACTTTCACAGCCCCTTCATTAGGACTGACCACCTTCTCTGTAGCTCCCAGGACACTCCACATGCTGCTTCCTGCACTCTCCTGTGACCCAACAAGTCCTCACAGCAACCCTCTACAGTTAGTCTTATGTTATAAGCATGTTACAGACAGAAAACTGAGGCATGGTTAAGTTCAGTAACTTGCCCAGGGTCCCAGGGGTGGGAGGACACTGCAGACCAGGATCAGAGCCAAGAAGGTCTGACTTCTGAGCCTGAAAGCCAACCTGCCACTTATACTGTCTCCTAAAAAGAACAAGGGACATGATCACTTATTTAGCTGCTTCTCCATGCTAGACACTCCAGATACTCAATTTACTGCTCACAGCTACCCTGTGAGGTTGAAACTATTATTGTCATTTTATAAGTGAGAAGAATGAAGAGAAGCAAGCAAGTTCCTTGATGTCATGGGGCTCGTAAGAGCTTGTTCAGCTCTTAACCACCAGCCTGCCTCCTCACTCTCCCAAAGTGCAAGAGGAGACCCATGGAGCCCTAATAATTGCTCATGTAGCATGGAATGAAAAGGAACAGTGTACATTGATTATCCCTTAGGGCAGAAAAATCCAGATCTGTGTCTGTATTAATCCAATTTGGAGAACCCGTTTTTCCACTTTGGTGTGGACCACACCCACATTGGGAGCCTCCTGGCCTCTACTGCTCCTTCCCACTCCTCCCCAGGCCCCATTCATCTGCAGGGCCCTGCATCCCCAAGCCCTACCCTTGCTGTTCAGGATGGTTCAATGCTCTCCCAGCACTGCCTGTCCCTTTCCTTGCCAGATCCCCTGCCCCTCTGGCTTGAATCAAAGCACCGTGGAAACTGGCTGCCTCACTTTGCCCTTGTCATCAAGGAGCGGGTCACCGGCTCACTCTTCCCACCAGCCACTATTCTTCCTCCAGCCAATAAGGCCTTTACCCTTATTTTTAGGGAAAAGCAATCCAAGGGCAATGTCACACAGAAATCTATTAGACCCACAAAGCAGCATTATTTGCCATGAGAAGGGCTCACAGGGGCCTGAGAGTGGTTAGACTTTTTAACAATCTTAGAAACTTGCTCCTTCTTTAAAACTTTAATAAATTTGCCACTTACCAAATTTATTCTAAGATGTTACAATTATTAATTCATTTAATCTTCATGACAACCTTACGAGGCAAGCATTACTCTTGTGCCCATTTTATAGATGAGGAAATTGAATCAAAAAGAAGCAACTTGTTCAAGGTCACATAGCCAGTCATTATCCTTTATGCTGGGACCAGCAAACTTTTTCTATAAAGGTT